ATTTAGAGACTAGTTCTCCAGTCATGAAAACATTTTTGTATCTCCACCTACATAAACCTAGGTGCATATTTTGTTTGAAACTTTCTTGTTGTTGTGGTTGATAAATACATGCACAGTGATGTTAATTAAGATGTGCAATGAAGATTAATTTTCTGTAAAATATTAATCTGAACTGTGACTTCTTCATTTGGTTGTGGCCAAATTAATGTAGTCAATTTGCCCGAAACCGCTACCTACATGGCCGCTTGTAAGAAAATGCTGTCCTGTACTGTCAAGAAAAACTCCTGGAAAGGAAAAAAAGAGTATGAACCCTGTATATAATTTAAATAGTCAAATCCCTTTTACTTAATACTTGCTATGGGTCAGGTTGTGGTTGGCTGGACTGTGTCATAAATCCAGAGTAGTTTTTTATTCACAGTCTGTCCCTGACTGCACACAGAGCATCCCCTGTCTGCAGCGTTCATCCAGCATACTGATGACCACGCTGTTGAGAACATCATTTCCCGTTAAGGCTTTCGGTGTGCTCAGGGAAGCTTGGCCAGTCCAAACACCAGAGTTTACTCTGAGATACAAAGCACAGTTGGAGACGGTGCTATCAGTGGACTGCGATGCAGCAGACTATGCCAAGAGAGCTGTGGTTTATGCTGACCACATGAGATTAGATTAGCATGAATCTGCAGAATATGGAATGTGACAGGAAATGAGACTGACTGGCATAGAATAAAGTCAATGAAACAACTCCAAAATCAACTATCAGACACTTCAGACAAACAAATGAGCACAAACACTGTATAACAAGGCCATGGCAACTAGGATATTGTAAATATCAAGGGAAAAGAAGGAACCAGTAATGTCGAATGCATTTTTCATTATACAAATGTCAGAACTCTGACAAGCTGCACTTTTTAATTTGTGACAGGATGGAAGTACTTACACCAGTGGTTCCCAACCTTAAACTGAGTGATATTTCATATTATATTCAAAACTGTACAATGAACCCAAATAGCAAACTCAGTAACTGCAAGATGTTGTGAGTTTATGGAACATATATACATATTTATACAATTCCGTATTATGTATTTCTTATAATGTTGAACAAGCATACATACTTAATAGACTTATTTTTTGACAAATTCTGTGTTTTCTTGTCCCTGACACTAGGCCACTGATCTATTGGACAACTGACATATGCTGTGGCTCAGAAGAAGCAAGGGTTGTCCACTAATTGGAAGGTTGTTGGTTCGATCCCCAGCTCCTCCCGCCACATGTCGAAGTATCCTTGAGCAAGATACTGAACACCAAATTGCTCCCGATGCTGTGCATCGGTGTGTGAATTGTGTATGAATTGAGTTAGTTTTCTGTTTGATGGGGCATTTGCCCATCACTGAGTGCAATGTGTGTGAAAGGGTGATTGGCACGGTCGTGGGTAAAAAAAAGCACTTTGAGTGGTCGGAAGACTAGAAAGGTGCTATACAAGATACAGGTCCATTTAACATTTACCATTTCCTCACAAAAGTGAATAGGCCTACTGTGTATATACAAGTTTCCTTACACCACTTAAAATCAAGAAGGTCTTGCGACCCCCCCATGAAGTTCTGGTGACCTCTAGTGGGTCCCGACCTCCAGGTTGGGGACCACTGATCTACAAGCTGTACTCTACATACACTAAATAAGCTCAAAATAAAGTAAAATAGATGGATCCTAATGACTTTCTCAACTGATGTCAACCCTGTGATCTTTACATTGAAATGATATGCAAATGTACTTGATGGATTGGTACATCTGGTACAGACATTTGCTGTGGTTCCCAGATGATGAATCGTACTGACTTTGGCGATACCCTGACCTTTTCACTTTTCACAACTCCAAAACGCATAAGCGTGCCAACACCCAAAACTCAGATGGAGCATATGGTAAAGATTATCTGCTAAACATCAGCGGTTGTCACTGTGAGCGCCGCTGTTGTTAAGTACAGTCTGACAGAGCCACTACCATGGCCGTACACTCTTGTTTGTTCATCAAAGGGGCAGTTTCATGTCTCAAATTTGACTCTTTGTTCAATATCAACATCTGGAATAGTAAGATGAATCACTAACTGTCGTTTTATTTGGATTGGAAGGTCAGCACTGAGGCACCCCTTCCTCTTTCCGTTCCATGTACCTGCATTATACCCTTCCACTTTGGTCTACTGGTTTGATGTGTGAATATAAAATTCATTGGAGAAGAAAAAAAGCTCCATTCTTCCACATTTTATATTATATCTAATTAGATTTTTTCCCCTCCGTTTCCATCTCTCCGTGCTCATTTCCATTTCATAGAGGGTAAGACTGACGGATACGGATCTTTCCCTGCCTGCTTAGCATTTGAATCAGACATCGGTGCTCAGCTTCTTTAAATGCTCTGCTGGCCTCTTGCCCCTCTCTGCCTGAATTTCCTGCTTTTGTCTCCTTCCTGATTTCTTATTTTTGTCTCACTTGATGCTCTTTCTTACTTTCTTATTTTTCTCCCGATTTCTCTGCTGAGTTCTTGATTTCCCAAAAACTGACATCAGTAACTTCATTTCTTAAGCTAGTGTGTAGCATCGCTGCTGTTGAACCTTTGCTTTCTCGCATTTTTTTTGCCACTTAGGGACAGTGGAACAAGCTGAAAACTGACATATGATCACATTTGAAAGAAGTTGTTATGGCGAACATGTTAGCAAACCAGTGCCTGAATGAAAAGAAATCCAAAGTGGGCATTGGTTTGACTGCCTCTGTGCTTTTTACCTTGTATTTGGGTCCCCACCCAGGGCCCCATAAGACTAATGGCAATCTAAAAGTATTACGAAATGAACGCATTTTCTGTTGTCATGTCTCTGTAGTCCAGTGTGGGGTTGGTTATATCCACATCCTGTGAACCTTATGAAAACTATAGAACTATTATTATTTCCCAAGGACTAGACGTGTAAAAAGTGCTATGAATGCTACATTCCTCATCTAGTATGGATGTGAGTCTCCATACTTTTGGTATCTCAATGCTGGAGATAACTGTCTCCAAAGGGTGAGTGGAATGAGGGTGGGTTGCAGCTTGATGCATTCAGGTCCCTGCAGCTGTCAGATCTTGTGTGTTATCATCATCATGGTTCCCATGTGTTCTAGGATACCTGAAAAATCACCTGGAAACTGATTCAAATGACCAGATATTCAGGAAATAATCTGTTATTTTGAATTTTTTTTTTTATTGCATATTGCATTATGCATATTTTGTTGAAAACCCAACAATTTCAAACAAAATTGGTAGCTGAGCATTATGACACTTCACAGTGGGTTAACCAGACGTAAAGCGGAAGAGAAAAACACGTTTTAAACACTCCCTTTTCATTTCGGCCATGTCAGTCAGTCTAGCTGTTCACAGCAGACGCAGAGTGGAATGGACCTGCAGCGATCCTTTAGGCGTCGTAATAAACCTGAGACACTTCATCATTTCAAAATTAAGTATAAAACTGTAGTCAATGCTAGGTCTACCGGTAAATTATATGACTGTGAGCAAGTACTGTCCTGAATTGTCAAGGAAAACTATTTTTTGGCTTCATTTTTGTACAGTGAGTGTATATTCAGTGGTCACTGAAAGGTTCTCAGAGTTTGTCAAATGTACTACTAATAGTGATAGTAGAAGTTTAAATTTAAAAAGAAGTTATTCAAATAGTAGTTTGACTGGAGATAGAAGTATTTTATGGAGTGGTGTGCAGTAATACAGTTCTGTGATACTGCATCAACAACTGCAAGTTAACATTGAAACTAACACAGTTTTAACATCTTAAGACTACAGATATAAACCTAGTAAGACACAATACATTCTACTCATAAATCTGTTGAAATTTCCAAAGAAACAGAATACTGTGAATAGCAACATACCAGCAGGAGTACATGTCACCGTCAAATTAAAAGTTTAAAATCAGTCACTATATATATCCTCAGTGAGGTGGAAGTGTTCCTGTGTCTGGTTGCCTTCACCGTTCAGACTGGATAAACATGAATGAAAGCAGTTGTGTGTGTGACTCAGGATGAATCTGTCTTCTTACCATCATCACCCTAAACATATACAGTACATGACTCTGGCAGGATGTACTGTATACCTATCTATCTAGTTTATAAGACACCCCTTGTTCCACTGGAAGCTATCATACACAGTGTGCGCCTGTGTGTGGACGTGTCACACTTAAGGGAAATTAATATCTAGTTGTATTATCAACACAACCAACTCTACAGTGTATACATGGCTCCCAGGAAAACAGTAAAAACAGGTTATCTGTGCAACTCCTGAAAACAAGCATTATGGGAGATAATGAGACAGCAGAGTAGATCTGATAAACACTGCCATCAGGTGGCCAAAGCTAAACTCACTTTGTATAATCTGAGGCAGCACTTTACATTGTTTTTGGCTCATGTCTTGTGATCAGGTCAGGTTCCAGTGTGCCAAAATATGTCAGAATCTTGAAGGAATTTTCATTGCCATCTGGAAGACACATCACTGTATAAACTTTAAAACCTGAGAATGCTGTCAAACCAACTCGACTGAAGATAGCTGTGCAGGGCAGTAAAAGGGAACAGACACCTGTTATACTGCAGCATGCTCTGTAAGAGTGGGCCTACAGTGCAAAGAATCCTGTTAGGCAACATACTAAATCATTCAAACTATTTGGCAAATTATAGAACGTGTATATGGTCAAAAACAAATTCAAATTAAATGTAATGTAGTAGTGTTCATATATTTTTTAACACTAGGGGGCAGTGGAACAATCGGTAATCACAATATTGACACCATCATCATATAAAGTTGAAATGGCTACGTGCTAGATTTCTTCCAGAGCTTAAAATAAATCGCTGTGTCTGCTGGATGGGTCAACATGCATCAGCTTTATATGGTCATAATATGCCGTATGTTGTGTTTACAACTTATTTTCCATGTAGTTTTTTTGCATTTGTGTCTATGCATTTCAATGAAAAATACAAGGCAAAATCTCTTTTTATATTACTTTTTTATTCTACTACTACAACAACCGCTAACACTGTAAAGAACAGTCATTTTTGAGTTAAAATTAAAAAACTCTTTTCTTGAGATTGCACGGAGGTCACATGGACAGTGCAGCCATCTTCTTTGCTCTGCGAGCTGCTCCAGACTTCCTCTTACCTTTAGCCTTGAGGAGGGGTTTATGGGAGACATTTTTGCCTCCACTGTTCTTGACATTGGACCGATGCCTGGAGGAGCAAAAACAAAGACAGACGTGCAGATGCAGAAGAACAAGTTAAGACGTGCAAATAGTCTCATTGGTGCAGTAATGAGTGAAAAGACTGAACCCATAACAGGCAGTGTTCTGTGGACTCACCCGCTGACCCTGTGTGTGTCTTTGAGAGGACAGGCTTTGCGTTTGTGCTTTAGGCTGCCGCAGTTGAAGCAGCCTTCCTTCTCTTGAGCGTGCCCACACGGGTGGTCTGGGAGGGCACAGCGGCCACAGGACTGGCAGTGTCTCCAGGCTTAGGGAGGAAAATTAAATAAATTTACCCACATACAAAAGGTAAAGTAGTGGTGTGACGACTTGCAGTAACCGTGTATCATGTACATCCTACTACTGTGTCTGATGAGATTGTACGTTTACATACATGGTTTCACACATTTCCCACATGTTGAGCAGTGCCTCCACTCTCGGCCGTCCTGGAGACACAGAGAAAACAAAGAAGTTGTAACGTGTGCCCTTATAAGCAACATATAATGTGTGCAGTTGTAGTTTTATACCTTGGATGGGCAGACGTTGCATTTGGCACAGTGCTTGTTGAGGGACCAGACGAATCTCTGACATACAGAGCAAAATCTAACAGAGGAAGAGAGGATACAAGACCTTTAACACAGATTCAAAATCATTTGTATAAAGTGCATGACTCTTACAGCTGGGTATCTAACTACAGTACTTTAAGAGCCACTTGAAATGTGTCCCTAATATGGGGTATTGAAAACTGCTGGTTACAGGAAGCTCTGAGATTATTTATAAATTCTGAGGGAGTGCGTCCTCTACTAGAGTCTGACATGTTGAACAGTCATGTTTCTACAGTAGCCTAGAACGGACCAATCAAACAGTGCTCAGTTCAGTTGCCATCTGAAACTTCAGACAACAGAGTTCAGTGTCTTGATACCTGTAGCCCTCCTCTTTGGGCAGGACAACGTCTTTGGGTGAAATATTAGTGAAGAGTCTGACAGGAGACTGCTTCCTGCCCGTCTTCCCGTGTTTATACAGAGGGTGGTTGTCATAGTCCACCTGGTTGGAAACATATCAAATATTTACTTTATTGTTTATAGTCCTTTATAAAGAAGCACAGACAGAAAATCACTGCTGGATTTGGTTGTGTTGATCTATGAGTCACTGTGCTGCACCTCCAGGGCAGCTTTGCCTCTGCATATTTCTTTCATGGCTGTGTGTCAGTTTGTGGTGCAAGTGAAAAATGCATGTTATATTAACTGTGAACCTGAGAGCAAGATAGGCTTTTGTCTGCTAGTATTGTCTGTACTGTCAGTATACCTGGTAGTCCAGCATGGTAAATGAGGGGAGACACTCCAGGATGCGAGGTTCAAAGAAATATGGGAAGATCCACATCATGGGCATGTCAGCGTTGCTGCTGTCTGCACACAAAGACACATGTTAGCTTCAAACACTGGAGCTGGGGCTCTTAATCTAAAATACACTTAAAGCAGAACCATTCATACATTATGGCATTTGTTGCTAGGAGAGTTTAAACCAACTTTTCTCACTTTTGTATGAACAATGGATCAAACGTGGAATGTGAAAGGGTCCACCTGTAGTTTCAAATCCACAGAATCATTAAAATTATCACCCGACACTGCAGTTTACCTCATCACTACACTGTATGTTTTAGCCTCTTTCAGTTCTTATTTTGGTTTTACAGCCTACATCTATTTCATTGCCCTTAATAAACAGTGACAGCTGTAGAGTGACAGGAAAGGGGGCAGCTCTTCCAGGGGAGCTACCAGAGTGCCACACATCTTTATTGTATTGATTTTTCAGTCTCAGTAAAAAAGTTCAGCAAAAGTCAAGCACTAAACAAAGTTAGTGGCAAAGTGGAGCGTTTAGAAGCTAAAGAGCCAGATATTTTTCTCAGGTGTTGGTGGTGACCAAAAGCAGAGCTAAAGTGGAACGTTGGACAAATATGACTCCAAATGATTATAATTGTGTCTGCTGGATGAGTAAATTAGTAACTGTTTTCTATCCCAGTATTATGATAATATGTCAATTGTGTGTTTACAGCCTGCTAGATAGAAATTCTGATTGGACTTTTTAAAGACTTTTAAAGACCCTGCAGACACCCTGCTTTTAAAGCTGCCTTACTGCAAAAAGAACTTCCTCTTGTGGAACATCACAGATCAGAACTAAATATATCCGGGAAATGAACTGAATATGAAAAATGTAACAGATTAAAGCCTAAACCTCCACAGTGACACTGACCAGAACTCTGCAGCTTCCTCCACGTCTTTGAGATCAGAGAGAAACTGTTAGCCAGTGGTTTCACTAGGCCACCGAACGGAGGGTCCGCCACCATCACCACCTTCTCCCCGCCACTCTCTGTGAGGAAGGCCTGCAGGACTGCACTGGAAGCCTGGCGAGAGATTAAAGCTAAATACACCAAACTGGACACAAACACAGGAAGCACAAGAGTTTTAATCCTTACCTCTCCACCAAAAAAGTGATGGTTGAACATGTTGTAGTGACAGAATTCATCCTGGCTGTAGAACTGAGCGTATCTGAAACATTATGAAAAAAATTGTTTGAAATTCAATATTCAGACAACTTTCAAATGCAACAGATTGCTATTTGTCTAATAACAGCAGGCGAGGCAAAAGGAGCAAGTTTGAACTTATCTACTGTACATAAACACTATTAGCACACACACACACACGCACACACACACACACACACACACACACAGGATCCTGAGATGTGTATCCAGGTAACGATAAGGTGTCTGAGTGCTGCAGGCTGAAGCTTGTAACGTGGGAACACACCCTCTCCGCACTTCTACCCTGCACATTCTTTACTTACACAAGCGGCAGAGAGACAGCGCAGACACACCTCGGGTAAGAACTGCTAAACCAACATGTTTAATGCTAAAAGAGTACAATTTAGACTATCTGAATATGCATTATGACTATGCTGCTGAGACAGCCTGTACAGGCATAAATGTTGTTTTGATGTCCACAGTAAACATGAAAAAAAAAAACTTCTTATATTGATAAGATATTTTGAGGCTGTATTATGCCAAAGGTGACTGATTAACATACAGAAAACTGAAAATAACGTCAGTGCTTTTGTTTTTAGTAAATGTGTAGTGAAAATGAGACCATGTCCTAGACAGGGTTTTGACAAAAAGCTTGGCATGGACCCCAAACAGACAGGTTTTCCAAAAACCTGAAGATCCAGTTTCTCTACAGCTAAAGCAAATAAAATAAACACGCTCTGGATGGTCCAAAAAGGAGAAAACATCTCAGATAGAGGGATAATGTATGTTTGTTCTGTTCAGTCCTCAGAAATGGCAGAAAAAGAAGCACTATCTGTTGGTAATGGACAGCCAACAGCAGCTCAGTCAGCACAGAGTGGTCTTGCGGCGCCCTCTGCAGGCACACACAGTGCACTGCAGGACAGACTGAGCTTCACTCCACTGGACTCCACCAGCAACAGGGTTGTTCAGCCTTTCCCTCGCTCTCCAAAACTACAGAGGAAGATAGCCAACGCTGCAAAGCCGTCTCAGGTAGAACATGAGTGCGGTCAGAAAGGACTTGCTGCTTTAAGTATTTCATGTAAGGAAGTGAACAACAGCCAGAGCACACTTTGATACAGTAGACTACATTATTTAAAGTCACACTGACTTTAAGCAAACTACGGTGGACATTTTGCACTATTTAAGACATCATATAGTGCAAATGATGAATAAGTGAATGAGAATAACCTGCAGATGAATTGGTAATGAATAACCATTCATTACAGCCCTGTTTACTACCAAGTGTCTAAACACACAGTTCTGTACAGTCTGTGGAGTTTATGTAGTGGATGGGGTTTTTGTATTCGCTGTGCATTACTTTTATATTCTCTATGTATTGTCAAAGCGGTGAAGATACTCTTTATTTCCAGGTGTTAAGTCTATTTCCACTACTTTTCTAAATTTGTGAAATTACACAATTAGTCGATTAATCAATTAAGTCAATTGACAGAATTAATCAGCAACAATTTTAATAATCCAATAAGTCATTTTGGGGGACCAATTTATATAATATTTAGCTTCTCAAATGTGAGGATTTGAGGCTTTTCTTTCTCTTACATGACAGTCAACTGAACTTGTAGTAAAATGGTATTTTCTTTTTTTTGGACATTTTTAGACAAATAAAATAATCAGCAGATTAATTGATAAGAAAGTAATTGGAATTGTAATTGGAAGCAGCCGTAGTCAATCGCAAGGAAGTTTTTTAACAGTTTTTATAACTGATGAATTGAACAAAATAATAGTTAATGAAAGAAAAAATTAACTGCAGTCTACGAGGTTATCTAATGATCTACTTTTATGCAAACACTTCTGTACTCTGCAGGAGCAGCTGTCCAGACGTATGGAGGAGCTGCAGGTGGAGAGATCCAAGACTGAGGCTCACATCCAGTCTCTGAAGAAACGCAAGGCAGACCTCGCTGTAAGTACGAGACCAGTAGCTCTCAATACTTAAAGATCCCCTCCTGACATGTATACACTAGTCTGTTTGGAACAATAATGTGTTTCTGCAAAAAAAGTATAAATTACACATTAAAATCCTTAGAAAGTCATCTACTCCTACCTAATTACAAATTCCAGAATATGCAAATGTATCACACATACATACACATACATCCATCATTCTGCACAGTGAAGATCAAACATCACACAGCACACAACCACACACACACACACACCACACACACACACACACACACAACACACACACACACACACACGCACACCAGACTCCCAACAAGGAGGAGTGCATAAAGGTTGAGGACATAGATCAAACCCTTTGGTGTGTATTTGACATCTGGCCCTTACGCTCTCCATGTTCCTCCCTGAAGAGGAGCACAGAGGTGATGAAGCAGCAGGTTCGAGAGCGCTTCGAAAACATGCGGCATGTCCTGAAGCAGGACGAGCAGGCCGTCCTGGACTCTCTGGAGCTGGACCTGAGACAGACCAGGACCAGGCTGGACCAGCTTTTAAAGAACTGGAAACACCACCAGGACCAGGTCACTAAGAACATCAGCAGCACCCAGGGAGCGCTGAGCAAGAGCCCCAAGACCGAGGCAGACGGGAAGGTCTGATTCAAGAGCCGCACAGTACCGCTTTATAAACATACTACACTGAAGGGATTTCCTGTGTTTTAATCAGTGTTTCTGTTTGTCTCTCAGCTCAAGGGCCAGTCTGACAATGTGAGGTAAAACAGTGCACCATTAGATGGAACACTCTGTACAACCCTGCTTCACCCCTCTGTCTCATTAGAATCTCTGTGATCTTTCTCTCAGCCATAAGAAGCCGGACGTCTCTGAGCAGGAAATCCGACTGAATGAACAGAGATTTGAAAAGCTCCTGAAAACATTATCCTCCATCTCCAAACAGCTGAAAGCTCAGCTGCAGAGGAAGACCCTACTGTTAGGTACTGAGGCCATCATTTCTACATTATACAAATTCCTTATAGCAGGGAACGCATTCAGGGCATTTAGGTAAATTAAGCTTTAGCTTTGGAGGTACAGAGATTAAGCTTTATACATGCAAGAACCAAATGTAGTTTGGAAAACCTGGAAATCCAATACTGCCATTAAACACTCTCACGGTTATTCAACCCTGGCTGCAATGAAAGGTTCCCTTAAATGAGCCAAATACCACAACGTGACATGCGACAGGTGTAAATGCAGTCATGGCTCGACAGTAATGGTTGCCATTGGCAACCATTCTGAGAAATTAGCAACCACTTTTTAAACATAAAAAAAAATAGGACTAGCAAAATGTGCGCCCCAAAACAAATGCATGTATTCAGGATATTTAAATATATCTGTTAAGTTGAAACTGGAACCAAATACTGAACGTGTGGTGGTGCATTCACTCGTGTATGCACAGGCCTCTGTTTTAGAGACAATGGCAATGGCAGGGACAAAATAAAGTAAAACAAATTAAGTTGTTTGTGGGGTGAAAAATTCAACTAACACAAACTATAAAGAAGAAGAAAGACACATTTTCCCTATAAAGCGGATGTATAACTGCATAGCATCCTAATAAGTGAAAGGTTTTTCAGCAACCAAAAGCTCAGGCCCGGTTGCCAGCCTGGTTACCAAGCTAAAGTTGATCAATAAATATGGATCCTCTGTTTAATTTCAGATTCATTCCCGATGGTGATTGACAGCCAGACTTGCCATAGCCAGATCACAGTGACCTCAGCGGGGCGGGGCATGTCCTTCTCAGGCTCTGCCGGTCCAGCCCCGGAGCGTCCTCTTCAGTTTGATAAGGTGTGCTGCGCTCTGGGCTGCTCTCCTGTCACAGCCGGTCAGAGTTACTGGGAGGTAGACGTCCACTGCTGCTCTGCCTGGGCCGTGGGCGTGGCATACGCCAGCCTGGAGAGGAAGGGCCGGGACAAGGGTGCTAAACTGGGCCGAAACAGGAACTCGTGGTGCGTGGAACTTCGTAACGGCCACCTTTCAGCTTGGCACAACGACCGGCACGTAGCGTGCCAGGGCGTCGGGAAGATGCCGCTGGGGAAGGTCGGAATGTGGGTGAATTATGACAAGGGCCAGCTGATGTTTTACAATGCTGAGACCATGGTGGTCCTGCAGAGGTTCTCTGCAGCCATGATGCCGGTGTTTGACAGGGCTCATCATCAGTTCACTGAGCCCCTGTACCCCGCCATACGCTTCCTGAAACCACCAGAGAACCAGATGTGGCCAAATCACCTGGAGCTCTGTCATCTCATCTCCAACACTCTGTGATACTGCTTGCATACTTCTAGTATGTGGACAGAATGTGTGTGGTCTCTCTTCCATCCATGTACATATACACACCATTAAATCAGAGCAGCTGTACAGTAGAATACATCCCAGTGCAGACACAAACCAACCTGAAGTCAATGTCCAGCAGCAGACTCTTCATTGGCTCATGTTTCTGCTCCAGGTTTCGCAACTTGATCAGCTCCTGGAGTCTGGCACAAACAATGATTACTGTTAATTTAATAAAAAACTGATGCCAGTTATTCAACAATTTTGTTACCAAGACCAATGAAAAATTTTATTATTTTGTGGCCTTTTAGTTCTGCGCTTTGGTGAACAGTAATGATGGGCAGTTGGTCAAATTGGGTTGCTACATTTACAATCTTCTAAAGGGTTAGGAAAGTTGTAGTGGGGTTGTATGGGGTATTTATCTGTAGTCAGTCTGTTACCTACAGTAGACGGCAGTCAGCATGCCTCCAGATTGGAGAAGCAGAGGGGAATATGAGCATGGAAGCTAAGCAACGTAGGGCCTACTGCTGTGGACAGGGGCAGCAACAGAATATATTTTAGCCACCTAAAAAAAAAAAAATCAATATTGGTTTAATACACTAATGAGTACCTGCTCTACCGCTGCCTTGATAGGTTAGTTAATGCGTTGGTTTGGACCAGAGCTAACCTTTTATAACACCAAAGTCACACTTACAACCCCACTTCACAAAAGTCAAACTAACGCTTTAATCAAGTTGGCCAAAATCATAATACACCTCCATTTTCTTTTCCTTTCATGTTCTGATACCATGGTTATTGTAAACAATCATAATCAGAGTGTACTGTATTTACTACCAGTATATGCAGTTTGATATACAGTGTTGATAAAGCTTGACGATAACCAACTTTATGACTACATGGTTCTGGTGGTAAGAGAGAAGATGGAGGTGATTTGGGTGAACTGACCCGCTATAATTTAAACAAATGTTCTAGTATTTGCAACATCAAATTCAAATATGTCTCTCACCTGGGGGTGCCCACACACAGGACCTTCCTGTATCCCAGAGCAGCCAGGGTGTCTAGCAGAAAGTGGGAGCTGCGGTCGGTGAACAGGTACTGGGCGTTGCTCTTCTTGTTGTCCAGAGGACGCAACAGCACGCTGGGCCTCCTCAGCTGAGCGACGGTGACGACCGTGGATCTGTGAGAAGAGTGGGCCTCGCACTCGCCCGGCAGGAGCAGAATCTGACAATCCTGACAGAACTTCTTCTCATCCAGCGGGAGGGAGGAGAACTTTCTGAACCTGAGGGACGAATTATAGACCTTTTAGAAAGTGCTGATTAACATGCTCACTTTTCAAATGGGGGTTCTGAATTTGGTCATTTGACATTGCAACCATTTAAAGGGGAATTTGGGTATTTTTCAACCTGGACCGTATTTTCCTACATATGTTTGTGTCTAATGGGGATAACAACTTTTAAAATGAGTCCAGTATAAATATTGATATAATATGTGAAAATATACTGGTTCTACACTCTCTCTGATGCATACCTCCCTTTTATTTTGTTTCTGTCGAGTTTGAATAAAGTGTTTTGTTGTTACGAGGTAAAATTAGAGTTTTTCTAAATGGAGTATGGTGTCTTTGAACACTCTGACATAACTGCTGTTTCTGGTTAAACAAAGAAGACCGTACTCTTTAAAGAAAAGGTCCATCTCTGTAGGATCCTCTCCATAATGCTGTCAGGCAAAATAACAATCTGAGACGTACAGATACATACGCTGTATGTCGAAATTACCCTTTAAATGCTGTAAAAAGTCGGCTTACAGTGAATCAGGCTCAAAGTTGTGAATAGAGACACTTACAGAAAATCATGTAAATAATCTCTCTGGTCCTTGCATTAGAAAACACAGAAAGCTTTTTATGGCAGGATCTGTGATTGAAATGTCCACGTTATAGAAGACAACCATGCAGGAGTGTGACACACACACTATATGTCCTGGATCATAACCTCCAAGCCCCCTTTTTTGGTGGCCCCCACAGGCTGCAGTTGACTCCTTACCTGTTACAGTACTCCTGCTGGGTAAATGGAGGTCTCTTCGACTGGTTCTCTGATTCTCTGGCCAAAAGCCTGGCCTCCGACACCTTCAAAGGAAATCAATTCAGATGAACGCGAGCTCAATGAAGTATGTAATAAAGTAGTAAGATGTGTTACTATAAGTGAAAACAGACCTTTTTCACAGCAGGCATGAAATGGCAGAGTAAACAGAGGTGTTACTGTTGACACCATCCATTCACACTAAATCTTAATACCATTTGTAACCCCTGTGTGCCTACTATTTCATGTCAAAATGGCTGCTGTGTTGAAGGTCTGTTAAGAATCAGCGGGCCTACCTTTTCATCTTCCCACTGGAAGAACTTGCAGTCTTTTCTGTCTCTGCAGGCTGAGCAGGCGTAAAACCTCCTGCCTGTCTCACCTCCTTTGCTAACCTTCTCAAAGAGCAAGGCTGGACCTGGCGAAACACACGTGACATTGTCGTTATTCGGTTAATCATGAGCCAGGTAAGCCAATGTTTCATTTATAACAAATGCTTACACTTTCACCAACATTCACCAGTAGAGGGGCGGGATGCATTTAGCCGCCCACAACTAGCTATGGTACACAATCCCACGGTCTGTTACTGTCTTCTCTCTGGAGTGTAAAGCCATTTTGGTTGATATTTTACTGCTATACGAGCAGTTCTGTGTTATATTCATAGGCCGAATGTATTAATATACATCACTCATTCGTATAATACCATACTGTTCAAAGTGTGTACATATACACATATATAAACGCAAAGCAACTTTAAGATTTAGAGCATTTCCTAACGCACTTTGGTGTTGACTGTGTAGCATGGTTGTCCTGTACATTTAAACTTACCATGCGGACAACATGGCGCCGGTTTGTCGCCGTCTGGAAGAATAACCTCTATTCCAAAGCTGTCGTCGTGAGCCTCGGTCATATCCATGCCGTTAACGTTACACACTTAATGAACTTCACTGAAAAGTTTCTAACACGAGACTTCAGCCTGACAAGTGGAAGCCATGCCGTTTCCAGTCGCGCAGATTTGACGTCATGTTGTCGCAGTTAATGCCTATTGGCTATAAATCACACCGGAGGCGGGATCTGGGTTGCGTCATTAATTTGCTGATTCTCTTCAAACAAACTGGGCGTTATCTTGTATTTGGGAGTAATGGTTATATTATAATTATTAGCTTTAATTTAATTATAGCTGTTTTGTGGATTTCATCATTTTAATGGATAAACTTCACACACGTCTTCTTCTATAGTAGAAGTAGATGTGTAAATAGATTTTTCAAAATAGTGAGAGCAAGAAATAGGCCCAAAGCTGAGCTCCATCCTCTGAGGAAGGTCCTGAAAGAGCTAGGCTGTAGTCAGTGAACCTTAAGTTAGAAGATGTTTGTCAAAATATTGTAATTTGTTCATTTAATATCTTTCATTCTGTAAATATTTCTACAAATATAGTTAAATATATGTTTATATTTCAGCTCAGTCATATAGCTATTTAATGATATATTATATATATATATATATATATAACTAAATATAATAATATATAATGCAGTTTGTTGATACATTTCAATAAAAAAAGAAAAAAACATACCTTGCTGCAATGCCATCTTATTCCTGTTGATTTAAATCTCAAAACAGAAATCATTGTATCACTAATAGAAAGTATCCAATTGATAAACTGCTTTAATTTAAAGAAAACAATAGTGATGGAGCTGATGTAGTTTGTTTTATATTATTTTTCAGAGAAGATGTGTTTTGCAGTGATCTCCTATTCGGTCTCTTTGTCTGTCTGCTTCTCAGTTGTTCCCAAAGATAAAAAAAAACAACTCTCTGGTCCAGTTAATTGTATTACAACACACAAAGAGGATTTTTATGATTGACACAAGCTGATTTTATAATGCATTTGGAGTTCTGTCAGTTCTCTCACTGCCAGTCTTTCACGATGCAGTTTGTTTACACTGAACAGGATTGTAGTCCAAAAGCTGCAGCACGCTGTTCATTAGAATGGGTGTTTTCTTTCTTGCGTACTACAGTTCCCATGTACGCCGCGGCCCCAGCGCAGGGGCGCTGTCAGCCTGAGGATGCTCAGCAGCAATCTGCTGGATGCTGAAGCAAAGCAGGGACAATATGCCCTCTGTTAGCTGCGAGACAGGAAGTGTGGGGTTGTTTCCTTCAAAGTAAAAGCATAATGGCTGCGTTGAAGTTGGAGAACACATGTAAATCTTTCTCTTAAATTTGGCTTCCAAATATTTTATGCACAGACATTGCCATGAACTACCTACCTGATGTATACATTGCTTGTACCAAGGCAGTATCTGTATCTGTAGCCTATCTGAATTCACTATTTGTGCATCTCTGTAAATCGAAGCATGGATAGACTTTTTTCATATGGTTGTATAATTATATATGTGTATATTCTATATATGATGTAAAAATAATTTTGGAGGGTGGATAACCAACCAGGCAAAGCCAGCATGTACCCCAGGCCCCCAAAATCTCCAGTTTTACAGAATTGTTTGGGTAATTTGATGAATTTTTAATTTGTTAGAGAATATCTGTTGTCATGGGTGTATTTTGCAGAACAGCCCTGTGTTGAGTTTAAATTCATTTGACAAATAAATCTCACCTCAAGCCTGACTCAGTAGCTGTTCTGGAGCTTCCTTTATTATTTGAATTTGTGTTGTACAAAAGTCTTTCTTTTTTTTGGGGGGGGGGCTTGAGGTAGGGTATTGAAATGTGCTGTGTGCCCTATGTAGTTTATTGTTGTTTAATTTAATTTTACAATTTATTCAGTATTTAGTTTAATTAAATATGTCCAAGGATGGTAATTTTTTTTTTTTTTTACTCTGCGTTACATAGTCCTAAAGAGGGTATATTTTAATATAATCAGCTTGGTATTATATTATATTCCAGCATCAAAATTAATTGGTTGACCTGCTAGTGAAACCACTTTAGGGAAGCCCTCTGATTTTATTATTCAAACAATAGATACAAAGCCTACAATATACTACATTAATTCAGAATATAAACCCAATTTCTATATAGACAGACTTTTATTTTGAAATGTCTCGCTGGAAACCGTATTCCCTCCTCTTTCTCGCTTGACTCCAGTCGCGTCTCTCCACCGTGCGCCCACACCCAACCTGCACTGTCTGGCGTATAGAGAGGCAGCGCAGCCCTGCAGTGTATGCGGGACATTGTCCTCTCAGTGCGGCTGTGTCGGGACATCTGTGCGGCCTCAGCAGACAGGGACCAGCGGGCTCTCTGCAGCACTCACATTTGCCTACATTCATCCCGCCGGCTGCCACTGAGGCTGGTGCGCTCTGCGGCTGCTGGCACCATCCATGTACTGTCACTGTGGATAGTGGCTTATTTACTGTGCATCATCTGACTGGAGAAAGCATCTGACGGGCACCATGAGCAGCACTGGTAAGAGCATTTATTGTGGGTCGCACTGGTTTTCCTCTTGCACTGGCCCCGTTCCTGTTATTAGGCTAAGGAGCAATAACGTACTTTAAATATTCCTATGGGGCTTCCTATGGAGCTGTGTTGATCAGTACTGAGTCTGTGTTTGCTCTGTCCTCATTTACGCACTTTTCTATCTGCTTTGACAGCACAATAACATTCCTACGCATTTAGAATGAGCTGCGATAGAGAAGTACTATACATCTCTATCTGCCAATGAAGGCAGCAGCACCAGGGTGCACCCACATATGTGATTCTTCAGTCAACACTGAGGTTGTCTGATGTTAGGACACAGTTTCAGATTTGTCTCTGTGGAAATGAATGTCATGTGGGCTAATTAGACGGGATATAGGAACGCCCACAGTGGGTTTGGTGGCTCTTTTCATCATGCTGCTCTGCAGTCTCTCCTGCTGTCTACAGCAGGCCCGACTCCTGTCACACCTGGCTTTGTCCCTGAGGAGGATCCAGTGAATGTAACACGAGGCTGATCTTCATTTGTGTACCGTCTAACCCTGCAGCAACACTGCACTGTTTGTTTTACCTATGCAAATACATATATGTAATGCTTCAGCCAATGTAGAACATCAGTTCCACTTTTTCAAGGACCCTTAGGGGGAGAGGTGTTGTGCTATTTGTTTAGTGAACGGTTAAGATGTGGCTCGTTTCAAAGGTTATGTAACTCTTCCTGCAGTGGCAAGTTTACATACATTCATCCTATAACCGACCATGACCAAATGTTAGACTGACTGAGCAGTTTCATCATGTTGAGAATATGATACTGCAGTCATTAAACAATATATAGTCAAATGAATACAAGTCGTTTGTGTTTTAAATGGTACACTCTTACAGCTACGATGTATTTATTGTGGCCAGAAAAACAAGAGATGTCAACCAACTGGTGGCAGAATGGCTCCAAATTAAAATCTAAATAAACTGAGTCATTTTATTCAGCTAATTTAAAATGAGCCATTTCTTTATATCTGGTATCTTGACTTGTTTACTAGCATTCACAATTTGTAATAAGATGTCCGAAACATGTGATTGCCCCCTAGTGGCTGGCTGCAGTATAGGTAATAAACCCCACCCCTCCATGTAAGCAGATGGGACAAACAAAAAAAAACAACCAAATACATCAAATAAATGTTTCCCAAAGATGGTTTCAGCCATTTCAGGTAGTTCTTATCAAACCGATGTATGTTAAAGTGTTAATTTTTATGATCAGTTTTCGATCAATTTATGATCAGGGTTTTAGGTAGTTATCTGAGGATATAAAAAGGAAGTTTCACCTCATGATTGAGAGCTGAGTTGGCTGGGTGTATGGGCGGGACCTCAATATCGCGCTCCAACCCCGTTCACTACTGTGCAGACTCTGTCGTCTCTCATCCATCTTTATACAGTCTATGTGTTGGAATAGTATATGAACAAGGTTTTGAAGTTCTTCCTGTTCTCCCGACACAGTGTGAATGCAGCATGGACTCTAGCACAGAGCCCACAGTTTAGGACAGAGGAAATCTCTCAGTTGAATCCTGAATTGAGAAGTTCCAGCACTCCACTTAGCATTAAATCTAGTCAAAACCAAAAAATAAGAGATAATAGATTGGAGCCCATTAATGAATCTAGCTTCTCAAAACAGAGAGCATGGACAGCCCCTGGTTTTACTGAGACCCTCTGCAGCACTGCTGGAGCTGTTAATGAGAGTGCTGCAGTTTGTCTGGAAGTCGAGACAGGAGAAATTCATTAGCACAGCGCTGTAAACTGCAAGCAAAAGAGACAAACAAGACAAACATAATTTGTCTGGGACTTTGTTTCTTTTCTCTCTGATGCCTTTCAAAAGTTTGACCTTTTAACTTTGGGAGAATGTAGGCTGGATGTGTGAGTGGACATGAGCAGAAAATTCATTTCAGATCTCTACCTGTGTGTGTGATGACAGATGGTCTCCACATGTAGGGACAAGTTGCTAATAAACAGTTTCAGGTGTGTGTGTGTGTGTGTGTGTGTGTCAAAGTCAAAGTCAAAGTCAGCCTTATTGTCAATTACTTCACATGCACCAGACATACAAAGGAATCGAGAGGACGTTTCT